ATACAACTCGAGCTGCCACCCAACAAAAAAAGAGGAGCACTAATAATAGTGACCTAGAAAGAAAACAACTAACTGCCTAAGAGTTAGGTATCGGCATAGACTGAGGCTACAACAACCGGCACTCCTTCTTGTGCAGCCGTACTAGGGAGAACATTTTTACCAACCAAAAGATAAAGCTTCCATTGAACTAACGAACTTAGACACTTTATCACTAAACCAAAACCAGACAACAGACTAGCTGACAAGAACTACCAGACTCCTAAACACCAAAAGCAAAAAACAACAACTGAAACTAAATACAAGAAAATTCCAACCAAGAAGAGGTGGTTGCCTGGGCAATGGAGAATTCATAGAGCTAAAAATTTTAGAGCACCACAAATTTCTGGCTTTCCACAACCACCAGAACACATATATTGTAAGATTAAGCCTTGGTTCAAGAGATGAAGAGTGCCTTATATTGCAGAGTTTGATCCACCAGTGCTTAAAACAAGAGAAGTCTTTGTCTAAACCATCCCAGGAGATAGCTCCAATCTTAAATACCCTTTTAGCTTTGCTGCAATGAACCGGATGTGCTCCAGAGTTTCCATCTCATCTCCACATGTTATGCAAATAGTATCAATAGTCTTCATCCTTAAGATGAGCAACTGATTGACAGGAAGGATGTTATTGAAACATTTTCATAAATATATGAAGTGCTTTAGTTTTCCGGCAATCGTGAGGGCCCAGATTCTTTTCCTTGCTGTCTTTACACCTTCTGATGAGTAGCTGCTTTCAGGTAAGTCTAATTTTCTCCACTCATCCTCCACCAGCCTTTTGTAAGCAGAGGTTATAGTGAACGTCCCAGATTTCTAAAAATTCCAAGCAAGCAAATTTTTGCAATGTGGGTTAAGCCCTTTGATGCTAAGATTGGCCTGACTTTCTTCTACTGTAAAACACCTCTGTACCAAATCCACATTCCAATTCCTTTCAGTTTCATCAAGTAGTTCATGCACCCAGGTGAGCTCATTTCTCCAAATGTTATGGGAGTCAGGTTTGATATTATTCAACTCTGGGATCTACGGGTGATCGTGTAAGTGCACCTCAGTCTCACTTTATACTTTGAATATTACATTATGGGAGAAGTTGATCAATTCCTTCCACTAGCTAGACCAAAGCCAGGATCCATTGCTCAGTTTTTTAGCAGAAAGAAGGTGAGTGTGAGGGAAGTGCCTTGCTTTAATTACTCTGCTAACCACTCCAAATTCTCCACAACTGCTTGATTATTAAGGCCTTATTCATAAGATAGATATCATGAAATCCAAGTCCCCCGTGCTCCTTAGGCAAAGAAAGAGTGTTTCAGGATCCAGTGAATGGAACTTGTGCCATCCTTCTTGTTATTCCATCAAAAGTCAACAAATATTTTAGCATTGTTGGCACAGGTAGTCTTTGGGAGCAAAAAGCAGGTTATAGCATACAGTGGCAAAGCCTCCAACACAGCCTTGAGTAAAATCTCCCTAACTGCAAATGACAGAAAATTGGTTTTCCAATTCGTAAGCTTTTTTTTTACAGCATCCTCTATATAAGAGAAGGTATCCAACTTTGACTTTCCAATATCAAGGGGCAGTCCTAGGTATCTTGAAGAGGTTTGGGGCTTAATACCCATGAGGGTTTGACAAATTGTTCTTTTGTATGTTGGGGTGAATTTTTGTTGTAAGTTTTAATCCTAACTATAGATTCCACTGCCTTAGAATTTAATTCGTTAGATTCGAAGGTGCAAATTGATGACGTTCCTAATAGAACCAAACAACTGGTATCAAGGCTCAGACTTATTCGTCTTTGTGCACTATTCGAATTAGGACTTGCATGACTTGTTTGAATTAATGTGTATGGGCGTAGTGCATAGTAGATTAGAATTGTAAAATATGATTTTTTTTTTAGGTATTATTGAATCCGACTATCGTGACCCGAATGTATGCCTTTTGATTCATTTATGTTTCCGTTTCTAAAGCCTCATACATGTCAGGAAATTTTTGGATTGTGAATGATTGTAATAATTTATTCGAGCGGTGGGACATCGCATAGTTTACTGCTTTCTTATAACAATCATGTATGGCCCCTTATACAATTATTTACAAATTAACTAAATTTGTTAAATTTATTTGCATATATGCTTAAAGATCTATTTTTTATCTTTATGGCATTTTACTAGATATCGAAAGAATTAATGGGAATCTATCAGTTACCCAAAACCGATTTCCTATGTATACGGTAACTTCCCATCAACTATGTCTCTCTCCTCCTCCACCCCCCACCCCCCTCCTTCTTCACACACCAAATCAATGGTCGCCGCTTCATGTTAGCGTTGCCCTTTCTCTCAAACACACGTCTAATATTGGTAAAGATTATGGGATCGCCGATCATGGTTTGTAACTTTTTCCAGTTGATTAAATTTACAGAGATTTGATTGTTACGAAGGCGTCACCAGAGGTGGTCGGAGATGCGGTGGCTTCTTTTTCGATCTCTGCGGTTATTTTTTGAAGAGACAATGATAGACTCCAACGACGACGCGTCCCTCCCCTCTTTTTTCCCAGCGGGGGAGGTCAAATTGGAGATGACGAAGGCGAGGCCGAAGCTCGGGCTTGTTGCGATGTCGAAAGTATATGTTATTTTTATATACAGTACATTTTTAATATAAGTTTCCGTCGGCACTATCTCAGTGATACTACGGTAGTTTGTTTGTGAGCAGATGCAACATACGAATACATCTAATAGGATTTGTTTTTCATTGTTTATTTGATGTTTATTCATAGTTTATGTTTGGTATATTAGAATATTTCACGATTTGTTTCAATGTTTATTTAATGTTTTATTCATAGTTTATGTTTTTGTGTTTTTTTTTTAATTAAAAACCTTTGCATTCAAGCAAATTAAGAGATCATTACATCCATGAAGAAAGATGAAAATGCAAAAGGAAGAGAGTCCTTCCAAAAGTAAGAAGAATGTGACACTACCGCACAGTTTGCAATTTTATGGGCCACCTGATTCTTCAATCGGGGGATGTGTTCACACTTACTGCAAGCCAAGAGTGACAGGAGCTTCCTATATTTTGTG